AATGTCGAGACGGAGGTGATGACGGAGATGTGGGCCCCAATGTCCGGGCATCCAGATAAAATGAAGTGGTACCTGTCAACGGGGAAGTCCCTCAGTGTAGTGGTTCGAGTTGAGGATGGCGTGTTTCGAGTTTGGGAGATGGTGTGTGGGGATAATTATTATTGGAGGGAATGGGAACATCAGATTGTGTTGGGAAGTGAAATTCAATATCCGTCTAGTAGTATTTATCCGGTCGGTTGGTTGCAGCACATGGAGGTGTTGGTGTTTGAAGGATGGTCCAAAAACAGGGCTTTCGATGTTTTCTACATGGTTATTGCTACTGGGGAAATAGGATGGATTGCCCCCGTATCATCAAGTGAGGAGAAAGGGGAATCTTATACAAGTATTGGTCCATTTTTACCTCACAAGAACACCCTTGTGCAGTTGGAGGGTTACTATTAAACCCATTTACTGTCTAACAATCATGCTCATTTCTTGTTTATCTTGGTAGGATGGGATTTTTTTACTGTCTAAAAAAAAATTAAGCTGATGGGTCTTTTGTTTTATTTATTCTCTCCACACATACATACAAATACAATGGTGTTTGATTAGTTAATTGACATGTTTGGAAGAATTGAGGGGCTAACCTAAGCTGATGGGCTCCATAAACAACCCTTGTACATGTTTGGAAGAGCACAGAGAGATTCCGGAATCTATTGGGCCAAGAAAGCCCATTCAAAGAATGGAGTTGTTCCACTCTGTGGTGATCTCATTTTTTTTTATTTTTTATTTTTTTAGCTAAATGGTAGTTATATTACATAATTTGAGAGCAAAATAAGATAATAAAGTAATGTTAATATTATATAATTGAAGGACAAAATAAAGTAGGAAAGTAATGTTTAACTAACATCAACATAATTTGAGCAATAAAATAAGTCTAAACTAGACACGAAAATGTCAAAATGAAGAGGCAAGCCCGAAAAATATAACAACCTAATAAAACAGATTCCATCGTTCGTGGAACAAAGTAGACCAATCTTATGATATTCCTACCGGACAAAATTAACGGGATCACGAAAAAGTAATTTGTATTTGAAAGAATTAAACTAGTCTTCCGACATCCTAATGAAAGAACATAATCGCAAAATATGATCATAACTAAGGCTGCAAATGAACCGAGCGACTCGAGCACGAACTCATATTTTGTCTTGTCGAGCGACTCGAGATAATTGTTAAATTATTAAAATACCCCTTATAAATATATGTCAACATAGGTCCTTAATGTTAATTTTAGCTTTTCACTTAAAAATTTTTGAACCGAGCTCGAACATTTAGATTTTGAGCCGAGCTCGAGCTATTATAATTTTTATCAAATCGAGCTCGAGCCTAAAAAATTGAGATCGAGTAGCTAAAAAAAAATCAATTCTACGCGATAAGACTAATGCCCTGGGTAAAAAATAAAATAAAATACATCGATATTTGAAAATATTTTTAAAAATAGAAATGACAACATAAATTGAAAGAGTTAGAGAATTTAGAGATGTGCAGTTCACGTCTTTAATTGTGAAACTGAAAAGAAAATTTATATTGATTTTCGTCTGAATTGTTTGACCAAAAAATGCAAAATTTATTTAAATTTTATTCTATTTTTGGTTGGTATAAGTTATTTAATTTTGTCCAAATAATGAAGAGGCATTCTATACGATATGCATAAACATTTTTTCATCATTTTAAAATTTTTATTGGTTCATAATTATAAAATTATACTTTCTGAATAAAAAACCTAACGAGTTAATTTATTGTCAATTTTTTATTTGGATATCTATTTTGTATTCATAAGAATGATGGGAAGATATTGTCTTTATCAAGACATTAAGACAAATAAAGCTTCGCACGAAATAGTACAAATACAACAACTTTTTTTTATCATTCATCACAAGTGTTAGTTTTACATTTTTGTTTTTTTTTTTGTTATAGTGGTATATATATTATAATTTAAGTATTTTATTCTTTTTGCTTTGCAAGAATTATATCAATATTTATTTCTAACAAAATAAGCTAATATGCTTCTCATAAATTCAATAAAAATAAGCGTTAGCTATTGATCTAAACATTAAGGGTGACCCGTCTTGATCGTTACCTTAATATGATCTATAAATATAAAAAACAAATAAACATTTGAAAGTATACAGTAAAAAACTAATTTGATATATATAGACATTTATATATTTATCTTTATACTTTTAGATGGACGTTTATTGTCACAGTTTGTATACAAAGTAAAAGTTAAATGATTTAGTGTTTGAACATGACATCGAAATTTAGTTTTATTTACGAGTAAGAAATGGACTAATACTGCGGAATGATATTGTGAAATAAAAATTAATAATAACTGAAAGAGTAAGAGTGTCTCAACCATAAGGGAAAGAAAGAGTGATGGATGATATCGATTGTATGAACAGAGTAGGACAATGTATATTTAACATTCAATTATTTAATAGAATGTTTGATGTATATGAAGTCTTTTGTAATGGTTTTGGCTCTAAATGATTGATAATTTGAGCCCAAAATACATAGTTTGTTTAATTTTTTTATTTTATTTTTATTTTTTGGTTGATATCATTTATTTCATTTGAACTTTAATTTGAGGTCATCTAAAGTTTGTGACTAAAGTATGACTACCTACAATTTATTCTCTTTATTGATCCACAATTAAGCAACTATAAATTCCGATGAATAAAATTAACATAATGTGTTATGAATAAAATTAGCATAAAGTGTTAACTATTGCTATTTTTTGTTATTATCACACATGTTTTTTTTTTCTCTTAAGATATGACAAAAATATATTATCGCCACTATATTTTTGCAATAGATAAAGTTCAATACGACTTACTATAATGTATTGTAATAGGATCATGCTACATGTACCCCTTGGTGTACCACTTGGTTTACATACAAGGGGTACATGTACCCATTTACCCTTAATGAATAATTAAGGGTAAATGGGTACATGTACCCATTGTATGTAAACCAAGTGGTACACCAAAGGGTACAAGTAGCATTATTCATTGTAATATTGAATCAAAACATAATAACATTTTATTGAAGTATCTGAAAGTATCTGCACATTGTGAGGAAAGACTGAGGGATAGAGAGAGAAAGTTGCGGATGTGTTGTGTGGAAGAAAGGAAATATGAAAATTGATAATGTGTACAGTGAACCCTAACTACATGCTATTTATATGAAGAGCTAATGACCTAAAAGTGCTAGTGATGCAGAAGAAATATAAGTATTATTATTATTATTATTATTATTATTATTATTATTATTATTATTATTTAATAATTAGTAGTAGCTTAGGAAATAAGTTGAGT